AAATGTCCGCCCCCCCCCCCCCAAAAAAATGCCCATAAGCGTTGATGGTTTGTTTTCATGCCATTTGTATTTAGTATGAGTGTTAACTTCATCTCATACGTCAAACATTTCTACAAAGCAGAACTCGCTCATTTGAGATGCTGGAATCGTCTGGTTCTTTTCGTCAGCAAGCTTCCCCCCCCCCACATCTCTTTGCATCAAACAGTGAAGCGTGATGCAAATTACCACCAGCGCGCGCAGCCTTTCGCTCATTGCCTCGTCTGTTGTGCACTCAGTAGGCCGAGAGCACAAAGGAGAAAGGACGGAACGTTTTTGAGTGGGTAGTCAATGCAACGTGGCGCAGAAACACATCCATAATGTTACAGCGGGTGCGCGCATAACCACCAAGACGTATCCGCCGAGGGTGGTTTGAGGGAATTATTTAGAGCATGACGGCTCCTGTAAAAAGCGGATGGATCTATCACTGTGATGAGTCTTCTGACCTGAGTGATGGAGCAAGGCAAGCCTGTGCATGAGTTCACACTTGGGATTGGATCGGGATGCTTTGGATGTGTAGGAGCACGCTTCATGTGCCCATGTGTTCCATTATATGCGGCATTTACCTCCCCCAAGCCTTAAGGCGGGTGCCGTTGTTTTGATCGCCATTTGTTGGTTTATTCATTAAGTTACAAGGGACAATTGGGATTAGACAATGCAGCGTGTAAAAGATAGTGTTAGTTTTATCACATCTCATTCTCCATGAACTGGGATGTAGCAAACATAGTCCATATGTCTTCAGGCAGTAGGCGGGGTACACCCTGAACTGGTTTCCGGCCAATCGCAGGCCACACATGGACTGGACGACCATCCGCGCTCACACTCACACCTTGAGACAATTTACAGTGTTCCATTAACCTGCCATGCATGTTTTTGGAATGTGGGAGGAAAGCGGAGTACCCGGACAAAACCCACGTAGGCACGTTGAGAACATGCAAAGGCCGGTGCCGGAATCGAACCCTGCACTTCTGCACTGTGAGGCGGACGTGCTATCCAGTCCAACACCGTGCCGCCCCAATTGAATGTATGTGCCCATTAAATTTGCATTTTAAGGACACGTCATTAAAACACGGTTATTTCACAGCGGGGCAGGAGTGCTGAATGACTCACTCCGAGACATTTTCAGAAATAGACAGCAACAAATTTACTTGGTGGTTTGAATTCATTCTGTTAAAAAGCACTCTTGAGGCCCTACTATTTGTATACTCGGGATTACAAAGCACGTTGTCATAACATGGCCTTGATTAGCTCCGTTTTGGAAATGACTACAGTAGGTGCAAATTGGAAACCTTGTATTTCACTAAGCATTACCAATCTCACTGTCAAATACTATCATAGAAATGGATTTGGTCACATTTTTATTTGGAGCATACTGAGAGTTGGTGTTTTTCCTAATAGTAGTTCAAATTTACGATTTTGAATTTTTATGAACATTCTGTTTGATTGAGGGCAGCATGGTGCACGACGGGTCGGCATATCTGCTCTTTTGTTGTCGGAATCTTGGCGCTGGCCTTCCTGCGTGAAGTTTGTGTGATCTCCATCTTTCTCCCAAATTCCTAAAGCATGGACGTTAGGTTCATTGGACTCTAAATTGTCCATAGCTGGGAATTAGGAAAGTAATAGTTTGTGATTTTTTTTTTCATTTTTGTTTCGTTGTTATTCTTTTTTTTTTTTAAATTCAGTTAGTTTTAAATCAGCTTTAGTGGTTTTTATCCATTTAAATATTTTTTTGGAAATGCTTTGTTTCTGTTATTTTTGTACTAGTTTTAGTATTAGTTTTATTTTTTGAAGTATATGAAGTGCTTTTCAAGTACAAGATAAAAAGAAAAAGTCACAAAGTATAAATTCTCAAGCGGCCATTTGACTTTAGCGACAGCAATACTTTTTCAGAAATGTTTTTTCAAATTTTTTTTTTTTTTTTTGTGTTAGTTTTCATTGACTATACATCGGATCGGCTCAAGCTCACCGACGGTCCTAAAGATCGACGCGTGTTCATTGTGCTTCTCTTGCTTATTTCCCCTTTGTCTTTCACATATTGTGAAGAAATACAGGCGATGTCTGGCGAGTTTCGTTGTTGTTAACAATGCTGATAAAGGGGAAAGAAATAAACAAATCCGACGCACGTTCCGCTCTTCAGATTCTCCGATGGGAGCGCTGTTCTTGAAGCACACGTGTCATGTGGCCTTGAGAGATGAGAAGTGCCCTGCTGTGGGATGGGGCGGGGGGCGGGGGGGAGTGAGAGAGACACACAGAGAGCACAGAGATGCATCATGCAAGAGAAACCTGATTTTTACACTAATAGTCTTGACAAGACCTGTTTAGCATCGACTTCATTTGATGCGTGTTCACTGCAGACGGACCGTTGGTTAGGGGAGATGCCACGATCCGGCGGTCGGGAGTGGCGTACCGCTTCGCCTGTCGAGTCACGACTTACTGTCTCTATTTGGTTGATTCGCCACTTTTACGATTGGCCTAAGTGAATGCGATGAAGATATTCTTCTCACATTTTCTATGCGCAAAAAGTAGTACAAAGTGCCATCAATATCAACTCCGTACAAGTGCTCCTCTGCAATTGTCGGAGCCATCCATCCTTTGGCAAGACCACTTATCCCGTGCATATGTTCACATTTCTTCCAATGCATCGTGGGAATTGGTAGTCATTTACCGTGGAGTTGCTGTGACAATATGCAGTAAGTTTGCCGGGGTATGCTTTTGAATTGTAAGATTGATATTTGCTGCTTAGCATTCTATGCAAATGACTCGCCGTCTCACTGGATTTAGTACTTCAGTCAGCAAAACTGTAAATATGTGTCCTCGGCGAATCAAGTCAAACAAGACGCTATGAATTGAACGGCTGTAAAAACAGAGAAGGCATGAAAGACTCGCTGACTTGGCTCCAGAGTGATGGTCACTTCATGACTTGGAGGATTTTGGAATCGGGTAATTGTTGGTTACTAATTTTTTATAGGAATACACAGAAATAGATTATCATTTTATCATTAAGAGTTGTAGGAGTGGCTTTGGGGCAATTTGTGGGGTACAACCTGGACCGGTCACATGGATTGAGAATTTAGAGTTTTCAATGAACCTAAGGGATGTTTGCATTCGACTTCAGAGGTTCCACTCTGCCTTTTTTAACTCATTCACTCCCAAAGACGTTTTTAAACAGACTTGGTCTAGAATTGGCTGGTCCTGAATGAGTTTTAAGAAACAATGCACGCATATTTAGTTGTCTTCTTTCATTAACTAATGTAATCTAAATATTTCAGTAGCATTAAGTTACTTGTGATTATAATATTAAGATATCAAATTGGGATGTGACTATTTTCCTGCTATGAATTGAACTGACGCGAAGCTCAAGTGTTTCGCCCGCGCCGTAGTGAGTAATTACGTACATGCCCCAACAGGACTGCAAGATTGTGTGAATAATTCAAAGCAGTCTGAAGTGAAGAAAAGTCAAAAGTGATTTCACTGAATAGAAGGGAGGGCAGAGTGAGGCCAGATGCAGATTACATTCAGTCCAAGAAAGAACGCAATCGAGCTCACTTACTGCGACTCCATCATGTAACGAATGTCACAGACTCACAGTTGACTGCAAATCCGTGATATTAATTAAGATTAGCAGGGTATGCAAAAAAAAAAAAAAAAGACCCACACAGTGTGAGACCCTGCCCTTTAATTAAATTCAAAGGCAGCACAAAGTAATATTCAAGCCTTTGGAGGTCTTTGACTATCAGGCAGCAGTTAGCCGCTATCAATAAGGAACCTTTGTAGCAACCGGCCATTACACCGCGCTGAAGGCTACTTCAATCTTTCATGCTATGAATTGAGGCTTCAATTAGTTCTCAAGCGTTTCTCCGCGCCTCGTTTTATTGATTCACTTTAGGAAAAATATCCATCTGACAGACCCAAATGCTTGTTTTAAGAGCTACAGCATAGTAACGAGCATTTCTTTCCGTACTTACCGGAGGTAATTGTCGTTTGTGTGGAGCGCGGCTTTCGCATCCCACGGCCACGGCGAGGACATCCGTGTCACTTCGTGTTTGCCGCCAGCCCCTCAAGTCTAAGCTCTCGAGAAAGTGCATCACTCATCCGCCACCCGGCCCGACCCCAACGGTTCATCCTCCTGAGAAATGACTTGCTCTGCTGTGAAGTCTTCCTCATTGAAATTTTTAGCTCTTTTCAATTATTATATACATTTCAACCTCTGTATCCATCTTCGAAGAATATAATAAGAATACACACAAAAAAAAAAAAAAAACTGAAGGGAAAGACGTTGTGACCTCATTGTATCCACCATTGGGTGGATACTATGCGGTAGAGAAAAACGACCATCATGTTTTTTTTTTTTTTCTTTTTAGAAGTGGCTTGTGCCTCGTAATTACAGTTAGCGACTGTTCAATCACATCAATACTTCACCATGGAGAGTGAGTTACACTCTGCACTTTGCTAAGCTTACACACAGCAGCACGGAGTAGTTGCCATTCTCACATTGTTACGGATTTAGCTCAACGCCGTCTCTCGTGAACCAAGTGTGTTGGGCGTGTGAAAACAATCACGCCTTGGACATGTTTAAAAACGAGCCTGAGACAAATGTGCACGACCTGAGAATGGAAAAAAAAATAAATAACAGCAAAGGTGCAAGCACGAGTCACCCCTGCTGAGTACAGCATCCAGTGTCAATCAATATTATATCTTTATAAAGGTTGAATTTCTGATACCGCTCAAATATATTGCCATATAAAACTATTTTTTGTTGCTGGTGAGTTTGTGAAATGGAAAATGGTGAAGCACCTGCTGGAGCTCACCTCTTTGCCGCTGCAAGAAAAACACTGTGTCCAAACAGTTGTCCGTGAGCATGTCAGGCTGAAAGAAACTAACCAAAGTGTGGGAATGCGTTTAAAAAAAAAAAAAAAATCAATAAAAAGCGATGTTGTTTACACATCTCTGTATTCCACCTACAGCTGGAACGACGTACATCTTTGGGAAAGGAGGTGCTCTCATTACGTTCACCTGGGCACCCAACGAGCGGCCGAGCACCCGGGCCGACCGGCTCGCCGTGGGCTTCAGCAGCCTGCAGAAGGACGCCATCTTGGTGCGTGTGGAAAGCACGCACGGGCTCGGAGACTATCTTCAGCTGCACATAGTAAGTGCCCGAATAGGATTCTTTTGCCGCTAGGTCGCTCTTATTCATCGGCATTCTCAATGGTGGAATATATCGCAGCGAATTACTCACTGTGAAAATGAAAACATTTCTGGTTATAATTGCAGTTTTCTTTGGCAAATATCTTTTCCCTACGAACACATCTGTGAGTGGCTCAAAACGAGCCAGCCATCTTCTCCACCAACCAAACGATATTTAATAATTCAGTGCTGTGTCTCGGCTGAAACCGTCGTAAACATGGATTTATTAACCTTCTGTCAACAAGGCATTATGGAATTAATGAATAGGCAAAATTCCGACAATGTCGAATGCACAAAAGCAAAATTCTAATGGATTTGCTCATCTTTGGCCCTTGAGTTAAAATGTCAAGACTAAATTATATTGCCAAGTAAATCAAGATAATCAAACAGCATTCATGCTACAAATAAATAAATAAAAATCACGCATTTTATTGTTTGCTTGTGCGAAGCTCATCATCAATTGCACCATTAAAAAAAAAATGGAGCTAGTAACTGATGAGTTTCTGGAAGTGTGTTTTGATTGACTTTATAAACGTTTGAAAACTAATAATTCAAAATAGCCCAGTCCAGTCACGGATGTGAACAATCACAAATGGACCTCATGCAAGGCAACATATTTAGCATTTCCGGTGGAAAAGTTAGAGGATGTCATCTGACTAATCAACAGCCCCCACAGGATGACCACGCTTCTCACCCTATCTCAAAAGCAAAGCCAAGACACCCCATTGCGGTGTCATTTTGCCCGCTTGTATCTGTGATCTTTTCCTTTCAGCCACAACCCGCAGCTTGTGACCATAGGTGGGTGTTGGAGCGTAGATCGGCCGGTAAATGGATCTATTTCCTCACCACAGTAGGCTGCATTACGACAGATGCTCTACCAATCTTCCTGTCGATCTCCTGTTCCATTTGTCCCTATCTCATGAACAAGACCCCAAAATACTTGGTCTCGCCCCCTTAGGGCAGAATATCTTCCCCTGACCTGGAGAGGGCACTCTACCCTTTTCTAACTGAGAACCATTCCCTCAGAATTGGCGATGTTGGGTTTCATATCACCTGTTTCACACAAACCGTTCCAACAAGAGTCTGAAGATCGCTGCTTCAAGAATCCAGAACTCCATCATCTGCAAAAAGCAGAGATTTAATACCAAGGCCATCGCACCAGATGCCCTCACTGCATCGGCTGCACCAAGAAATTCTGTCAACAAAGTTTATGAACAGAATCACAAAGAGCAGCCTTGGCCGAGTCCAACCCTCACTGGAAAAGAATCCAAGTTGTTCTGATACTCTTGGTCCAGGGACTGGACTGCCGCTATCCGGCATTTGGTACCCCATAGTCCTGGAGCATCCACAGGACTCCTGAGGGACCTGGTTTCTCCAATCTCCTGAAAACCCTCCAGGATCCTGCTGTGGATGTAATTGTGGTCGACAGTTCCATCGAAAGGACAAAAACCACGATGCACCTCCTGAATACAAGATTCAGTTTCCTGACAGAACCTCCTTTCCAGAATGTCTGAATAGGCCTTATCAAGGGGGCTGAGTAGTGTGATCCCCTTGTATTTGGAGCATACCCGAGGGCAACACCACCCCTCAAGAGGCATTGTCCCTGATGTCCCCGCGAGGTCGCAGAGGTGTGTCAGCCGAGACAGCCCCACACCATGCAGAGCCCTGGGGGCCCTGCCCCAATTGGCTTTTTAGATAGAAATGTTCACAGGACTCCCACAAGTCCAGGTTTTCTGGTTGCTTGCCTTCAGTTTCGTACGTTTTGCCACAACCTTTGCCAGTTTACTCGGCCAAATTGAAGCCGTGCCACCCTCACAGGTAATATTCTTTTGCTTGTGCTGTAGCTGTTAGTGCCATTGCTTTGTGTTTTGCGATCAAATTAGCCCATCCATCATGGCTAATGGCAAGCATAAGGCAAGTGATGACAGCGCAAGTGCTGAGAAGCGGAAAAGCAGTCTCAGTGGGAAATAAAGGTTGCCATAATTAGGAAATCAGATTGTGCTGAAAAGATGGCAACTGTGGCCAGTTTGTACAACGTGAATCAATCTCCCGCCAGAAAAACTGAGAGGCTCCAGACGGCTACTTTGTTTGGCGAGCGACGTGAAGAAAACGCGTCCATGTTTGGAGACGGCAACCTGGAACAGAGACACCGCTTTCCTTTCCCTCCTCCTACTCCTGCACCACCACGCGAGCGGTTCCCTCCCCCACATTTGTACATCAATCAGTCAACAATTCCTAAGTTATTTATTTTTTCATCGGGTCAAGCAACATGCTAATTTGCAGCACGTGTCAGTTATTGGCGAGGCGGCGAGTGCTCGCAGAAAAAAACAAAGCGAGCGATTTCCCAGCGGGTTTATGGAAATAATCGAGAAGGAAGCCTTGGATAGAAAAATGGCAAAATAATAATTCACAAGCAGTTCAATATATAAATTGGCTTCCTGCACCGTAGCATCGGTATTTCAATGGCGCGGAACATGATGTGATGTATCCGAACTGTACGCTGCGCTCACGTTGGCTGTTGATTTTTTTTTTTTTCCACTTTTGGAAGAGGCCTGATTCCAATCTAAGGATAGCCAATTCCATTCGGGGTTTTTTTTCTTTTTTACTATGCCTGGTTGATGTGTCATGTTGTATCACATCAACCATGTTGCGCAAGTAATGCAAAATTAAAATTCCTGGATCCGGATTTGCGTACATGCCACACCATACAGAAACAAACTGTTTGCATAACCCTTTGAACACACCACAAAAACAAAAAAACAACCAAACAAACAAGGGCGCTTCATACATATCAGTCCAAATGGCATTACAACGACGACCACACATGACCACAACAAAACAGCGTGGTTTCTCTCGCGATTAAAATATAGTGACTGTTGACGAAACAAGCGACACCTCAGCAGCTGTCATCAAGTGTGTCTGTTCTGGAGGGAAATCAGCCTTTTTAGTACGTAGCCGCAGGACAGATGTGGCGTGATGAAAACCAGAGGAGAGAGCTGTCAAACGTCTGCGAGTGGTGTAATAATTAACATCACAGCTGCTTAATGTGGCTTTCCGTCCAGTACATATTTTAAGATTGGATGCTGTTTTTGAATCCCCTTCACACTTTCACGGTTGCTGTTTTTATGCCACCAGTTTGTGGACCACAATCCATGACGGAAATTGTTTCCTAATGTCCGAAAATAGTTCTGAACTGAACCTGGAGAAGACAGTATTGGATTTGACGGAACAGCAATTTTAGGATGTAAATATTGTACCATAAACGACATCGACTGTGGTTCTCCATTGGATGTTTTGCAAGCATATGACTTTTTTTTTTCCCCCCGAGATCAAATCTGTCTCCACAGCTACATGCAACGCTTACAGCTTGTAAGTGTCTCCCCCCCTGCCCCCCCCCTTGTTGCTGCCAAGTCGCTGCGCTCAAACACTTTGACACATTGACACATTATTAAATGCTCAGACAGCGAAAGGAGTTCATGGAGTGTGAGGTTCCTCTAGCAGAGCACTCAGATACACATCTCAGATACATACATAGCCGTCATATCCCTCATCGCTCGAGTCGCTTTGGTCAAAGTGACTCAATTCAAGGAGAAAGAGTTGAAAATGGGGAAGTGAAACGTATGAGATGCAATGCAGTTTCTGTCTATTAACCAGCAGTGTTTTGGAATTTCTCGGGTGATTTGCAGCTCCAAGATTACACAGTCAACAATTAAAAATGGACTTTAACTCTGAGAATGCAATATTGACACTTCTTATCCATCCATTTTCAACATTGCTTATCCAAGTCAGAAATATTTTTGCCTGAGGTGAGTCAATATTGGGGCATGTGAATATTAGTGCTTGTCTGTATTCAGGACAAGGCGAGGTTATTACAATTAAGAAAAAGTACCGTAATGAAATAATGAAAACTCAAATGTTACAAATATTTTCGTGAACCAAATAAAAACAACAAAATGCTTAAAAAAATCAAAACTAACTGAAGCTTCACAAAATAATTGTATTGATAGCAGAAGTCGAAACTATTATCAACTATTATTATAACATTTTTTCTAAAGAGCAAGCAATGTTTGAGAGACAAGAACACAACGTGAAGTTATTCTTGTGTCGTTTCATAACGCAGCCATTTTTTTTCTCATTAAACAATGTGTCCTTTCCTGACTCTCGCATTAAAGGAAGGAGGTGAGGAAAAAAAAAGTTTGTCCTCTCCCCTCTGTTCCTCAAGGGATCTTCTTCCAATTAAATAACTTTGGTCCATTTATTTTTTTATTTTTCTATGAAGTTAACCCTTTCTGGGGCAGCAGTTACTCCAGTGGATAGTTTATCAGGTTACAGGGTGCACGAAGGGGTTAATGTCAGATTTTGCCGGCACTCCTGATACACTGGCAACAAAATATCTTCGCTTTTTCGGAAGTCAAGACTACCTTGATCCCCAGGGAGTGAGTGACAGTCCAACGATATTAGTGTCCCGAAATGTGCATGTGGAATTTTGAGAATTCAATTTCTTTCATCCCTGGGAAATGAGCTTTGCTTGGTCACAGTTGGGATTAAAAGAAACACTTTAAGTTGCTTTTATTTACCGGGTCCCCCGTGTTTGCCGTATTAGACGATGATACATTGAATATGAAGCGATATTTTAGTGTTCCGTTGGGATTACAAGAGATAAAATCTCGATGAGCGGCACCCACGATTGATGCAGATTCCCACTTGGCTTTGAATACGCACAAAGAAAGTGTCGCGGGCCTTCAATAAGCCTTTGCGTTATTTCAAAGGTGGTCTCGTCAGATTCAAATCGTCTGCACTGTGGTCCTTACCTCATATAAACACCAGCCCAATATGCTTGCTGTGGGCAAGGTGATGAAGTTAGTGCGAATGCAAGAACGGTATTTCGCCGCAAGAAGCGAGGTGCTTTTGGAAGCAAACGGCAGACATCACTCGACTTTTCACGTCAAACCTCCTTATAGGCTCGTTCGAGCGGCTTCTTGAAGAGAAAGGAGAGCAAATGAATGTCAGCACCAAAGACCTCTCTATGGGTCGCTTGGACAAGAGCGCGGTCGTTTTTGCTTTGCCGGCACTTGAAAGGTCTTTCGGGACTTGTTTTGTAATCTCACTGAGTCAAGCGAAAAAGAAAAATGCCTCTGGCAATCTACTCCAACCTAGGAGATGTTATTATGGGCTAGATTTGACCATGGGCAACAGGACATGAATTTTTATTTTGCGTGCGGTAACAGACCACATTCAAGCAAATGGCTAAGGCTGATCCTTCCTTAATGGGGTTGATTCTTGACATTCAAAACCGGAATCCAGTCTTCCACCTCTGCTGGACCTGGTGGGGCAATAATCATCATAGCACGTGCATTACGTGTAGCTGCATAAGGGGGTGTTGCTAGAATGCCGTGATTTTTTTTTTTGTGCGTGTGTGTAATGGCATGTCAGCCACTGGTGATTGTTGTGTCACCTTGCGGAGTGGCCCACTATCGACAAAAATGCAGGTCGGGGAGCAGAAATTGAATCACGCAATAGGGCCTTTTTGCGCTGACATCACGCCCCTCTGTACACACGTCAGCAGGAGGTCCACACGTGGAATTTTCCGGTGCTTCTTGGGTGTTTGAAAGAGAAATGCGATTGTTAACCAATTTGCTGTGTGATGTTCAGCTCGACCGAGACAGGTGGGGGCAACAAAACATTTAAACCTATGCCAGGTTTGCAGCAGGGTGAAAAGTCATTTGAACAGGAAGGAGAGCTCATTTCTCGGCCGCACAACCATATTGGTTCATTTTTAGCATATGGTACATACTACATGCTACTTAACCCCCGCCCCCGACGTATTTTAAACAGGCGATCTGTGTAGGAAATTACCCCGTTGCAGGCCAGTAATCGCAGCCGACTCCCATCATGCGAACTGCTATCTCGCCTTGAGGCTGACATTCGGCAAATCAATGCTGTTCCAGCTAAACTAAGATCAGCTGTCAACTATTCCGGGTCAGTGAAGCAGTTTCGCTTTTATTTCCACTCGTCTTCGCACACACTTCGGTGAGGAGAGAAGTTTGACTTGTCAAGTGTAGTTTGTTGTTTTGTGACGGTGATTTTATCATTATATGGTGGTTTTGCAAACTCGCTAACGAATTCCAATTAGAACAATACCACCACACGCTTGTAATTATCCGTAAATTGGCTGTTCTTTTCTCGTTTTTTTTTTCCTTGCACAACATAATGCCGGTTTTGTGAACGTAATGTAAGAATACAGTAGCTCATTATTCCTCAGCCATGGCAAAGCGAAGGCTTCAGATTGACTCTCACACAAAATTAGTGACTCGATTCGATGCACATGGCAAGTTCATACTTCATTGTGAATGTGCGGTGCGTTGTCAAACCATCGTTGTTAACCTAAGTGAGTGTTTAAATTGGACTTTCGTTATCTTCCTGTGAGCTCGAAGAACCGCACGATATCAAGTCGATGACGATTAAACAAAATGTCGCCACCATAATAACTATATTGACTATCCGGGCAATGTTTAAAGTAACCTTTCAATATCGTTTACTGTTACAGGCAAAATAGTCTTAATGGCAAAGATAAAAGCACTCAGGTAATTCTTTCAATCTGTCTGAAATGAAATATATTTTGAGATCTTGCACAGGGCAGCGATTCGTCCTTAGTGTTGCATGAAAAAGCATGAACCAAAGAAAATGGGGAACAAAAAAAAAAAAACAGGCAAACTTCAAACATACTTAAAAGGCTTTAAGCACTTGTGACTGGGTTTAATCTTGCTTCCCGATGTTAATGTCAGATTTTTGGACGGAGCAAATGGCTTGAGAATAGCCCTCTCAAACCGCATCTCCCTCCCTGCCTTGCATTGTTACGTCTCCTTCATACGGACTAAACACGAAATCGTCAGTTGACGCTTTAAAGACCCACAGTGGGCTGTTGGAGGTTTCTGAAAACATTTAACACTTTCCGACGTAACACCAACCACATCGGCATGAATAATTGTTTCCCATTCTAAAGGATTCCAGCAGGATTTTACATTCAATTTTCGAAAAAGTATGAGGGAGGCGGGGTGGGGGGGGGGGATGATCTAATATGGCACAAATCACCGAATAAGCTCGGGAGGAACCGGGCGGACGTGACAGCAAAGCTGCAAACCCCAAAATATAAAGCACGATGCGGTGTTTAAGATATGTGCACCTTCTCTTTCAAGCCAGTAAACGTCGTAGGCCTCGTGTGCCACGGAGTACTGGCGCATTTTCATTTAGACACAACGCTACACCCACCCCAATTTGCCTGCACTTCCTCTGTCTCGTTGACGGTGCCACACTGCAGCTGGAGTTGGAAGAAAGCCCCGCAGCCTGTGCATATCTTATCCCACCCCGCCTGAGAGATAAAAGGCATATGCCGGCTTAAACTTCCTGATGATAATGATTATTAATCATGTGCGCGACATACAACCGTGCGCAACTGACATTCTTATTATCGTCACGTCACCGCCTGTCAACGATTCTCTCTCATGAATCGTTAGCATCCCACTGGGTTGTTTCATGTGCAACAAAATATACCCGTTGGACACTTTATTACGTACAACCACACAGTGCGATGAGAACCGCGCGAAATGATGTAGGCATGCCAGTATGCGTCAGACTGATATTTTCCACACCGCTGCAAACTACGACTGCAATAATCTCCATATTGTTCATTGAATACCAACCACAACCGAGAATTACCATATTTGTAAAAGCAGATTTTCTTTTTTTTTGTATTCAGCTATTGTACGACTAATTAGGACATATTTTCCAACCGGTTCCTCATCTGTGCATTAGTGTGCAGTTTATCGCACTGCCATCGCTTGTTTGACCTTGCATGGCAGTCAAGGGGTGCACCAGACACAGACACACAGACCGCTTGCTACCAGTGCCCCCCAAAGGCTATCTTGGGAAGCAGCTTTGACCTTTGCGGAAGGTTGTCGGTAGCAGACAGAGGAAGGAAAACAGTGGGGGTGGGGGGTGGGTAGTTGGTCAAGCAAAGCAGGAACAGCAGGATTGTGTCAGGAGCGATCCACGTCAGGCAACCTGAGCTGGCGGCGGAGAGGAAACCATGCCGAACCCTAAAGAAAGAGCTTAACATACTGGTCGTGTCACAGATGATACGCTTTCATCCGCCCAACTCAGTTTTGGTTTCAACACCCCTCTTGCAGCCAAAGCAAAGCGTTTACCCACATACGCACATTAGTGTGGGGAGGAGCAACTCATCCCCGACACTGTTTTAGCCACGCCCACCTCCCAAAAAAAAAAAATCAATGATAAAAAAACACTTCATGCTTTAGCCGCACAATTCCGCAGTACGTAGTTCTCACACAACGCTCATATTGAGCATTTGAATTTCCTCTGCAGCGGCGGTCTGGTTATTCACGTTGTGTCACCCGCAGAACCAAGGCAAAATCGGCGTCATCTTCAACGTGGGGACCGATGACATCACCATCGACGAGCCGGCTGTCATGGTGAATGACGGCAAGTACCACGTTGTACGCTTCACACGCAGCGGTGGCAATGCCACGCTCCAGGTGGACAACTATCCGGTCATTGAGCGATACCCTCCAGGTAAGACCAATGACAGCCGCTGCCTGCTAAATGAGGGCCAGTCCGTTGCATGTTTGCCTCAAGATCAGTCGGCGAATGATTGCAGGTTGGAAGTCAGCTCTCCCACTCGTGCATCACTCCGAACGCTATCCATTAAGTTGCCACCCACGCGTCCATAGTGGACCTTTCAAGTTGCATCAACAATCTCGTGATCTGACACTGATACACTCGCCTAAAGCCGTCTCGCTAAGTATATCTCGCAGTTAAACGGCTTTCATCAGAACCTGTCATTGCTGCAATCTGCCGCCGATAAGCAAACACGCTCACGTGCGCCGCGCGTTCAAAGCCGCTATTTTCTCCTCAACCTTCTTCTAAAAAAGCCGTTCCCTTTGGTGGAGATGACTCGTGCAAGCTCAAGTTGTGCATTTGGCAGCATAAACTACCTAATGAGGCGCCGCAAACGTCATCTACATCGACTGTCTTTTGAGCACAGAAGGATCAATTGAAAAGAATCCGCTGAAAATACATAACGTTAGGAGTGGCATGACATTCTCTTATTACCTCAACTCTGCGACGACATGCATACGCGGGAAACAAACCGGGAGATAATGTATTCATCGAAACCTCATTTTAAACCCAAAAGGGATTAAGGCTCGCCGGCCTGTGTACTTGCGCGCCTAATTTGCATGCAGATTGAAAAAGGGAAACGCAAACTGCTTTCATGTAATCACGGCCGGCTGCTCTTTAACCTGCTCTGAACCCAATCCACCTTTTTCGGAGCAGGTGCGGCGGCGTGCGCGGCGGGAGGAAGTTCCCCTCTCCGCCTCCAGCTGCGGGTGAAACTACGCACACAACCCCCAAATTCTTAATCACACGCGCACGTGTGTACACTCCGCGCTCCCACTTTAGCAATCAGTGATTTCTTTTGATATGATTTGAATTAGTAAACATTTTTTTTTTCCCCAGCCGCTTTCGCTGCGTAAGAAAGCTTGAACGCAAAGTGATTTCAACCGTCGTGTCTGGCGCCGCCTCTTTCATGTTACACCGTAATCCCGTTTATGTAGTCATCACCCGCGCACTGCTGACGACGTCGGCTGATTTTGTTTACCTAAGATCGATTGTGTGTTTATTTATGCATGGATGCATTCACGGATTCATGGGTTCATATTTCCATAATCTATATTTGTTTTTAAAAAGACTCACAGCTCTGCTGATGTGTACGTTTGCTCCATAAGAATTGACTCACCTCCAGAATAAATCACTTGCTGTTTATGTATTATGCACAATGTTGTCGCTGCCCCAAAAAAAATATATTTTTGACGGAAATCGATTTGATTCATCTTTGCTTCACAACGAACAGAATAAAGTATGTTCATGGTTTTTTATTGGACGGTGAATGAATCAACTATTTGACTTCTTCCACGTTCACATGCTGTAGCTGTAGTGTAGCCTTGCATTCTTTATTCCAATATGAACAAGTGATCATCACAATTTATAATGTGAAAGTTTTTTTTTGGGGGGGTATGAATTTAGTAGGATTTCACATACAATAACTGCACTTTAAAAAAAATGTTTGTTCAAAAATGACATTTTGCTTAATGAAAATATAATTCCAACTTTAAAATGTTGACACAACAAAGCATTACCAGAAAGCATTCTGGTTTGATTACAATCTACTTTTTACATTTTTGTTCGATTTGCTGCTAAATTCACCCCAATGAAATATCACGAACGACAATGTTGTTTTCTGCTTTTATCTTATATCCGACTGTCTAAATGTGACATTTTTTTTATAAATGCTTCTGTTAAAATGTTAATGAGTTTTCATGCCGCTGTTTTAACCATGTTTTTTTTTTACTCCAAGCATATAAACTTTTTTTTCCTGTGCTTAAAATAGCCCAACAACTTAAATGTGACATTTTTTTATAAATGCTTTTGTTAAAATGTTAATGAGTTTTCATGCTGCTAACTGTTTTTTTTTTTACTCCAAGTATATCAACTTTTTTTTCCTGTGCTTAAAATAGCCCAACAACACTAACTAGCGTAGCTATAAATAGCCTAAACTTGACTTCTCTAACTGTTGCTCTAAAAAAAAAAAATCTAATAACTCCACGTAAAGATACAGATGCCTAACCAGGTTGTTAAAGGTGTTAGCCATCATAACTCTGTTTCTAACCATGTGATCTTTCAGCTTGCAGACGTTAACCTTTAACCTGTCTCTCCAAATTCTCTGAAGGACACTATGATAATGAGCGACTGGCTATTGCTAGGCAAAGAATCCCGTACAGACTCGGTCGGGTAGTTGACGAGTGGCTACTCGATAAAGGTAAAAACAAAGAAAAGAACTGAAAAACTAACTAGTGATTAACCTTCCCCCTCCCCCCCGCCACCCCACCCCTCCCTCCAAGAGAGGCGCAGCGCCACAAGACAATTGTGACAAGGGTCGTGTTTATCCCAGTGTGATACAGTCCCCAATTGAATTGGACCGCCTAATGTCTGCCAATTGTTCAGAGCACAAACTCAGCACTGATTAAAAAAAAAAAAAAGGTTCCCACCGCACGTTTTTTTGAAGCGTTCCTTCCTTGTCACCCTTGCACCTTGTGGACCGGCTGCACCCTTAAACTGATTTTAAACCAATGAACTAAAAACACATAACTCATACCCAGCCCTCCATCGTCCCTCTTAACCACTGCCATTAACTTACGAGGGAGTATTGGGGCCCACGCTGAAAACAAAAAGACAAGGATAAGAAATGAGAAGGAAGTCGTAGAATGACGAGAATAAAACTGAAATTAGAAGACCAATTTGGAAACATTAAAGAAACCGACTTGTCATTGTAAAGTCACTAAATGTCGAGAGAAAAAAAGAAAAAGTTGGAATGATGCAAGAACAAATTCATCATATGGTGAGAAAAACATCTTCATAGAACAAGGAAAAGTCATGATTGCGCCTTAAATTCTCAAAAATTACAATAAAAAGACTAATTGTTCAAGAATAATATACGCTATTATTTTCTAATGTATGACTGTATGCTGAGGAAAAAAGAAGTGATGAGAATAAAGTCGCAATTCTACAATAAAAAGTTAGAACAAGAAGAATGACCTCATTTTACCAGAATAAAGTTGTAAGCTTTGTACAGGCAAATGCGCCAGTGCAGTAGAGATTGAAACAAAAAAGTTCATTATATTCGCCTACACAAGGTACAGTCTGTCAGCTTTGACATTCAATTAAAACGCTGACTTCATTCTCATACTATTTTCTATACAGTCCTGGTATTCCTTTTTGGTGTAGTAGTACGACTTGAAATTGTTTTCTTGTCGTATTACAACTTCCTTCTCATTCGTTTTCTTCTCGGTGTGGCCCGAACATTCCTTCGTCTTAACTAGATGTGTAAATGTGTGTAATCAATTGCTTTTTCCCGCCCCAGCTTCAGTTCAGCCTCTGACAAAAGAGGCCTGACAGGCTGCTGAAATGGTTCACTGTGTTTGCAGCCACCAACTTTGCTAATAAGTATTCTCCTGAAACGGGCCCATTACTGCAGTCCTCTCGCTGATGCTCGCTTATCAGCGTAACTGCTGTCAGCGGCGCCGTTACGAGACATTGTCCCTCGCAGGAGTTAAGGCCATTGGACTGGAGGACAACGCTGGAGTTTTTAATGGCTGCAGAATTCACTCGTCAGTGGAGTTCAGCCTCCATTTTGTTTTTACTTCCCCCATCCCAACCTGCCCCCCATTGCACTGATGCCGGTGACTTCAGTAATCTTAGCTTCTGTTTGGCAAAGAGATAAATAAAGATCCAGTTGAAACACCCGTCCCTTTTCCAATACGAGAAATCTAATTGAATGATGTAAAATGCATAAATAGGGACCTAAATATGAGCACCGCCTTTTCTTCTTGTAACCTGCATGTTTAAAGTGTAAATCCCCCCCCCCCCTCCCTAGCCCACCCCCACCGTTGAGCATTGAAACGATTTTTGGGGTAAATCACTAATACCAACATGGTACAAGTTGTACTCCCTTGCCACCCACGTGACTTTTTCATGTCTGCTTCACCTTTTTATCCAATCCCCTTCTCAATTTCATTCTGCCTGGCTTATAGGAAGACAGCTGACCATCTTTAACAGCCAAGCCGCCATTAAAATCGGCGGCCAGGACAAGGGCCGGCCCTTCCAGGGTCAGATTTCTGGCCTCTACTACAACGGGCTGCAGGTGCTCAAACTGGCGGCGGAGAACGACCCCAGCGTCCAGGTGGAGGGCAACCTCCGTCTGGTGGGCGACGCGCTCTCCGTGCTGACCACCGACACCACCTCGGCGACCCCGCTGGCCGTGTCCGACATGTCCACCACCATCATGGAGACCACCACCACCATGGCGACCACCACCACCCGCAGGCAGCGCTCACCCAGCTTGAGGGACAGCATCTCTCAGGTTAGAGCGTCAAAGGAACACTAGAAAGTCACTCCTGCCTTTCATACTTTGCCCACCAGTGGGGGACTTTATCCATCTGTTGATATCATCACTATCACGTTGCAATTATAAAAAACCATCCATACGGGACAAAAAAAAAAAAAACGAAATAACTGTGCCACGTACATCATCCGGCGCAGTTCGGAATCAATATTTATATGCCACTGTTGTAATGTAACATTTGAGAGTACTAAAAATGACAAAAAATTAAATTGCGAGCTTACTCCGTTGCTGCGCCTTCGCTCTGGGCAGAGAACTCGTCAGACAATGAACAGGTAGAACTGGCAACAACACTGAGACAAATTTGGAGAGAGAGGTATTAAGAACAAAGACGTGTTTTCATATCTTTCCACCGGGTGTAGCAATAGCACTCAAATAGTCACGTATTGGGAAGTACAGTGGACGGTGTTTAGAATTTCTGTCTCTCAGAGGTAATGTTTTTTTTTTTTCTTTTGTCCACCATTCACACAATCCACACCATAGTAGTTATGATTGTGAATGTGTGTTTTCCATCCCCCTCCCACATCCCCTTTTTTAGCTGTATCATCTGCAATGGATAATGATCCAAGTTTACCAGAGACAGTTGAGTAATTGTATTTGACTGTATGATATATATACATCAAGTGAACCGCAGTACAGCAGAGGAAAACGGTACTCGAATCCTACGTCATAAAACCATCTCAATATCCCCTTTTATGTTCCGTATTTGGAGGTTGACTTGATCTCGGTGTGCTCTGTGAAATTCAAAAGAATAATCTCCAACACGGCGGATAATGTGACATGTTGTTTTGGAATCAATCACGTACATTGGGAGAAATATTCGGAGGGAAAGACAAATTGAAAACATTTGCTTTCTCATTGTGAGACTGGAATATTATGACTAATTAAAATTTCAGGGTCTAAGTCTCACAGGAGGACTACATTTCTTTTGTGCCTGCAATAGAACAGGAGCGCTTGCGGTGTTTCGCTGGAACTGGAGGCCAAAGGTGCTATTAAAGCTTGAAATTGGCCTCAAACTTTTCCAAGCCTCAATAACTTCTTTTGATGCGCAACTTTTGTCGGCATTGTAGTTCAAATGCAAGCGCAAAATCGCACGGATCAATACTGTTCCTGACTAAATGTCCTCCGTTGAACAAATGTTAATAGAAATCGGAGGTAGGAGAACAGACTACAACGCAAATGCCACGATTATCATGGTTCACTTTACCCATAAATATATCGCATCCCAAATCGGACGGGGTCATTTTACCTGCGGCCCTAATGAGGGCAAACGCTATAGAAAATGGATGGACGGACTCTTCGAAACCGCAACACTGGCTTGCTCTCAGATGGATTCATTTGCATTTCTCTTGTCTCCTTTCCCTTCACCTTTGAATAGCCCTCCATATATTTTCAATTCATCTTAGCGGGCCGTCCGTTTACCATTCTGCTCAGGTTTATACTGAGGTCGCTGAGTGCCCTCAGCCTTCTTCAGGGGAAAAAAAAAACAAAAACATTGATTCAGCATGAGAGAATTTGTTACTGCATGATGCATCTTACAACACTATCGAATGCCGGCTGGGAATTTCCTTTTCAACATGACAGCACTTCCTTAGAAACACCGAAGAGTCTGCAATGGGGTGGGGGGCAAAGAATGAAAAGCAGCAGAATATGTGCACATTTTCCGTTTGTTCTTTCACTCGCATCGCTCCAAGCCCCAAACACTGAAGTGGAGCACTGAAACACATTGCAACATTTCGTCTTCATAAAGCGCACGGCAAACAAGCTCATAGGGCAGTGAGCAGAGGGATTGTGTCTTTGTCAAATCAGCTTTTATTCAATTTATTTATTTATTTTTTTTCTCCTCCACATAGCCGCAGAACTCGGATGATATTCTGGTGGCGTCAGCCGAGTGTCCAAGTGATGATGAAGACCTTGAAGAGTGTGAACCGGGAACAGGTGGGTTTTCTCTCTGGCAAAAAAAAAAAAAAAAAGAGAAGAGAGAGATCTGTAAGAGTATAAAAATCTCAGCGCCAATGGGTGTTTTTACTGTAAGTGCTCTAATCAATACTCAATTAGTCACCGGGTGTTGTCCACTTGAGCAAATGAACGCCTTGCTGCCAAATAGATTGCCCCTTAAAAAAAAAAAAAACAGCTTTGTAAATAGTGTGACATTATAACAGCACGACAGTGTTTAACTCACCGGTAAATTCACATTTTTTTTTTTCAACACTGCTTTTCTTTTCCTCCTATTGTGTGCCCTCCTGACACGATCGAAGCTGGAGGTCTTGTTGAACAAAAATAACATTGAAAAAATAAAAACAGGACCTCCATCTCGAGACAAAAAAACGAAACAAATCACTTGATAGAGAAAACGCGACAATTCAAATTCACGTCGACGTGAGCTTGGTCTTCCAGCCGTTGTGGCAAGTGCAGATGGCCTCAACAGAAGCATCGCCGTCCATCTTGATCGATGCGATGCTCACGGTATACCTTATGGAAGTGCCTCATACGTCCCTCCGAGTCTTGCTAACGACTTCGGAGAGCTAAATCTCGTTTCGCCTGACTATCATTACTTTGGCTACGCCGATCGGGCGGATCCATCGATCATAAGTGACGGCGAGGATTCACGTAGAAGGTTCTGCGCTGCGCCGCGCTATTTATAGGAGAACAAAAGGACACACAGAAAAAAAATTATGCAAATATTCCTGGTTCAAATTACAGTATAAAAATTTTATTGTAATCCTTTCATGCCCGGAAGACATGGGCCATTATTTTATTTTATTTTTTTTAATGAGTGGACAGCAGCAGAGTACGTAAACGTTCACCGAATTTAGCAAAGGCTTCGGTATGCGCTATATTCTTTTCTTTCTTTTGTATTGTCGTGACTTATGTCTACAGCTATCATAAAAATCTAATGCCTTCTACTAATTACTTTGTGTTACTTTTCGTGTAGAATCCTACTAAATTCTCAGGAGAGCAAGCTGCTGTATGATAGAGTCATTAGGAGGAAATGATAGCGGCCAGAGCGCGAGTTTATGGCACCGCAAGTGCGGCCATTTTAAAGACTTTCCCCATATTGAAACGCCCTCAATAATTAACATGACCTTCGCGATTTTTTTCTTTTTCGGTGTTCGCTGTAAATGCTGCCTATACATGTCCATAGCAAGCGCATGGCAATTGAATTGTTTATTGTGCGTTATTTGCTTCCGGGAGTCGTCTTGTATATTGGTGCCCTCGTGTGAACCTCCAGCAGTATTTTACGCTCCACACCCACACGGTGACTTCACATCCAAAGCGGTGGCTTTCGTTTGTGTATGGCCTTATGCAGTCCGTGTTGAATATTCTCGTGGTGTAAAATGATGCTTAAGAAGAAGAAAAAAATAAAATCAGTGATATGCCGGTTAATGGTAATTTATTCTTTACTGATATTTTACTTAATGAGCAGATTCTGCCTCTATGGTAATGAGCGTAACTGTTCAGGCGGAATTTTAATGCTGTTCTAATTTAGGATCCCCCCCCCACCTTTTCTGTTTCCCTTTTAGGAGGTGAATTAGTGTTGCCTATTATAACAGTGGATTCCCTTGAGCCCCCATCCATCGCCACCCGTTACCCCGTCATCCCTCCTCCCCCTACCCTCTTGTCCCCCCTCGAAACCACCAAAGAGTCTGTGATAGTCCCTCCTCACCCTTCCTGCCCCCCAGACCAGGAGGACTGTGGTGACACCGTGGAGGTCTCGGCCTTCGGCTCCGGAGAGATGACGGAATCTGATGACGAGGACTTTTACAATAATAACAACTCCCCGTTGGTCACTGACAGGACAGTCCTTCCGCCACCTCCCGCCGCCGGTGAGGGCGGAGTTCAGAAACCCCGCCCCTTACCCCCTTATGTTCCCACCACCAACCCCGACCAGCTCCACATCCCCGCGGGCAAAATGAACACCCGAGACCAGGTGCTTCTGCCCCCTGCTCCTCCATCCTCCCGAAACACACCGGGACTAACTTACCCCCCCAATTTTCCCCATGTGCCCACAGCCGACCCCACAGCCTCCGATGAAAAGATCCAACCGGGCGCCGTGGAGGTGATCAGGGAGTCCAGTAGCACCACGGGCATGGTGGTTGGTATCGTGGCTGCTGCTGCTCTCTGCATTCTAATCCTCCTCTATGCCATGTACAAGTACCGCAACCGGGATGAGGGCTCCTACCAGACAGACCAGGGCCACAATTTTGCCAACAATTTTGCAGTGGAAGGCAACGGAGCGGTGGTTAAGGACAAAAGCACAGCGACGGCCTCGGCGGCCAAGGCAATCACGAAGGGCAAAAAGAACAAGGACAAAGAATATTACGTATGAGTAGGCGGGCGAGGACTGAGAGGATGTGAGGGTGCTCCACTTTCAAATCACCACTATTTTTTTTTTTTTTTTTTAATTCTGGTTGGAAGTCAGACATTTCACAGGTAACTAAAGGCAACTGTCAAATGCAGACTGCAGTGAACACGAACATTTCCCTCACAGTTGCACAGCTACCACAACGCTGTCATCCATCATCCACTTCTTGTAAGTGCTTCATTTTTAAGTATTAACAACCTCGAGAGAGTCATATCCAGTGTTGCTTTGTATATAGCACGGATATGATGCGGTGAAAGGACCCGGGGGTTGAGTTTCCTCAGTGTTTTCTTCTTTGTAATCTCTGTCTCAAGTGTCGAAGTTCTCCATTATGACAGAGTGGCTGCAGAGCGGGAACACAGATGCTGTTAAAATGACTGGTTGTCTGATGTTTAAAAAAAAAAAAAAACAACTTTTAATGGACTTTGAAATATGTTCTAAAGGGAAACTGGTTTTGGAATCTGCCCTTAAAAAAATAAAAGAAAAGAAAGAAAATGGCAGGGGGGGCGCTTCAAGGCCAATTTCAGGGGCAATGCCTGCAACCCGTTCCAAATGTAAAATTGACCAGGATGACTACAACTGCATAATAGGACAAATTATGGAGCACAGTGAGCCGAGCCCTGTCACATGTAACGAAAATCCACAACTGACACCCACCATAAAATAAGTTTGTAATCGCATATGAATGCTACAAGTTGAAGGTAAATCGCTGAAAATGGAAAGGATCATCAAACACCCACATCTAGCATGTGCACAATTATGAATCCATGTTACATTAATGATTCTCATACAAGTGAGTTTTGAGGCGGGTTTTTAAAGATGGGCAGCAAAGATTGTATTCAGTAGCTGAGTTATTCAATGTGAAAAAAATTAATAAATTCACATGAGGCAATCAAGTAATTCAGCAAGGATACCGGTAATAATAAGCAAGCACACAAGCCAATACATTTGCATACGAGCAGTTTACATAAGTGGCATTCGGTGATTTACTTCATTAGAAATCCTTAAAAATGTTATTTCATTGTTCTAAGAGTAAGAATGACAAAGCAATTTTTCAGGGGCCTTGGCACCGCATGCTCGGGCCCTAACAAGATGGTCGAATTAATATGTATGCCTTCAAATAATTCGTTCTAGCACCTTTTCTTGAATGAAAGCATTCAGTCTTTTTTGGAAGATGGCAATGGGTCATTTGAAAATTTTAATCCTCGCTGGAAGCCTTTTGTTGATTTGGATTTTTGTTTGGGGGACATTGTCATGCTGAAAGTTTTCAGCTTTGGAACAGTACACAAGGTCCCGAACCTTGACAAACCCCCAGTTCCAGCTGTGAGAAAAACAGCCCCAAATATAATAAATCAAAACCTGATCCGACATATTAATTTCTGGGTGCTCGCACTGAGACAACCAGCTATTATTTTCCTCAACTATTGTTGCCAAAAAGCCAAGGCAGGAAATGTTATTTTGTCTCTTTTTGAAAGGGTTTTGTGTACAACCGTTCATAGCTTGCTCAGTCAGTCATCTCAGATCTGCACCAAACCAATTGCAATTCTTTTTTGGGGGGTGGGGGGGGCTTGTTTTTTTTTGTTTTTTGGTTTTTTTTTGCTTTATAAATTTTCCGAGCATTAAGGCAAAACACGTCAAACACAAAAACAAAAAATCTTACCTCATGTTTAACCTTTATAAACTTGGTGGACATGTCGGCGAGGTTTTGGTGGCAATTGACATGACCTTAACAAACGTGTTTAAAAACTGATATTTCCCTCCTACGTCTGCTCGGGGAAAACAGTCGAAGCCCAAAAAAAAAAATAAATCATACACATAGGTCAGCCAAGTGACTTTTCACTTCGGTCGTACAGTTGGGTTATTTTTCATGAAGACACAAAAAAAATGCGATAATAACAAGGGTGTGTTCCGTTTCTCCAGCCCCTGCCTATAATGCAGAACTGACACCATTGTCGAGTTCTTGTGGTACATGAACAAAAAAAAAAAAAAAAAAGAAGGAAACCTTTTCATTTCTGTAAGACGTAATCTCCTCAACCGTGTTGCATAATGAGGGTTTGAAGCCCCACCCCCCTCCACCACCCCGCTCCAGCCTGCCCTGCCAATGCCCGCAAGAGATGATCCTCATAAAAAATACAGAATGTTTAAAAAGGGATTTCGCTCAACACCTCGCAGCAAGCCGGATGGGAGTCGTTTATTTCTCTGTGGTCGGTGTGGCGTTTAATTCAACATAGGGTTAAATGTGAAAAGTTCCGTCTACACCAAGTGAAGGTATATCTGTAAACATTGCTTGTATGTATATATAGAGGCTAGCACACTCAAGAGGCATTGCGGATGCAAAGTTACAGAGAAGAATCAGCGTCCGAGATGCTCGTCCCTCTCCCCCAACTCCCTCACAGATTTCACGACGACCCAAAAACGCTGCGGCCCAACTTTGGGGCTGCGGAACATTCTTCCCCATTGTTGCTTCTTGGAAAGTGACTACTACGAAGCCAGCTCACTGTCCATCTTGTACCTTCCATGGGGAAAAAAAAGGAAAAAAAAAAAACTTTTACGGGATGATCCAAAAGCACACAGGAAATGTAAACATATCGTGGAGGCATAGATATTCCTTGTTAAGCTGACAAACATGTATTGTTTTTTTTTTCTATCAGTGACTTAAAAGACTATTCCATGAGACGAATAATTGATGATGTGTGAATTGTATTGATATTTCTCTGATATTTCGATGTACCTTGTCACCGCTCCTCCTAACACGTTCCATTTTAGATTGCCTTTGACTCGAGACAAAAAGCACACACTCTCTTTCGGATAGCTGCAAACATCTTGTGTTCCTGCATTATTCATGGCTCCGATTAAGCAGCGAAAACACGAGAATGGGACAAACTGAGGTTTTGGTTTGATTGCATTGTGCATTTTATATGTGCTGAATCTGTTACTCAATGGATCTAATAATATAAAGCCATTTCCTCTGTTGGGTTCTGTCTACATTGACTTATTATTCATGCTCTGTGATTCCCCTGTTACTTTTTTTTTTTTAATTTATTTTATTTTCATGAAAAGTGCCATTCGACGTGAGCTGTTCTGCGCTCGGAAAATATTCCATCCCTCACTCGTTGCTATTGTATAGTGTTCATGTGAAATGGATCTCAATATGTGTACAGGACGTGCATAAAGATACAACAAAAAAATAATAATAATACACTTGATGATATAATTTGTACACATTTGTGTTGTGTGCTGCTTCTTGGGCAAAATGCAACTTCTTTTGTTGATGAATGCATCGGGCTAAAAGTTTGAATTCATAGCTCAGCGCAGCTGAGGTCAGACATGTGATTTGTGATTGAATTAAGTCAAGCAATTACAGTTTTAATCAATGCATAAATCATCTGAACGCTGCCGACTCTCACATCATGATGAATTTTACTCAAAGGTCGCACTGGTCTACCGGTGACTCTGGGTGAGGAATAAATACGTTCTATGAATTGACACTGGCGTGATTTTACACACGAGTGATAAGGCGAACGTATTTTTCCACGCAAGAACAGCGTTTCATACAAGTTGGAGACCATGGTGTGGTTTACAAATGTTTCTTGCGCTTGAGTTTCATCATCACGGGCTCGCTATCTGCTCTCGTTTCCTTCCAGAGTACTTCTCTCTTCTCCTCAGGCGACGCCTCAGTCGAGCTTGTCTGGGCTCTGATGTCCAACACTTACCTTAAATTGAAGTGTTTTAGGGTTATTTGTTGTTGTTTATACTTTAGAATACAAATAGGCATCACAGTTGGGTCTGGTGTGGAGAGGGTATCTTGCAATAGGGATGAGAGCGGTAGATATGAATTTACAATGCTGGGAGTGTGAGGAAAAAAATGTATGAATTAGGAGAAGCGAGTTTAACTTTATGCCGAAATATATTTAGACAGAAAAAGAAGTAGCTCTGTCTTCGTGGACGGTTGAGAAAGAGCACGCCTTATGTAATAATACGAATTAATACATGACGACTTCCATCTATGAATCATAGATGGTGTTAATGTCTTCTGTGCAGTGGAATTCTGCCACATTTACATTACACACGGCATGAGAAAATACACGTCTGGGTACTGCACTCCACATTGTTGTAATAATTCATTTGTCCTGTTTTCTCAGATGCAAAGACTTCAACAGGCTTAATTATTGTGGGGCTAAAATGTGCACTCAGGCGCAATGATGGTTTCTATGCCGTTTGACTACCCCCTGCTGAAAAGACAAAGAATTGTATAATGAACACAAGTTATTGCCTCCACGAGAGAAGCTTTTTGCTTATGGAAAGATATGTTCTAATCTAAACAGTGAAAAACACCAGATGATCACACCGTAGTTCATATGGCCTTGTGGATTTTTGACAGCAAAGTCTGTCAACATGACAACGAGGTCAAATGTGCAACGCAAAAATGTTTTCTGCAAATCTAACACAGTATGGCTGGCCCAGAGTCACGAGTCAATCAGTTGATTTTTCACCTTGATTTTTAAAGATTAGTACCAAAGTTCAATGATAGATCTTCCGATCATAACGTGTCTGCTCACTATACTTTGAGCATCTGACAATTCCTGGCTGAGAAGAACATTGCCTTACAGGAGCAACCTCCCTATTCACTCCACCTGGCTCTGTCATTTTTATTCCCTCTTTCCCAAGCTCAAGGTGGTACATCCAGGAGGCCACTTTTGAAGACGTGAAGAGGTAAAGAGCTGTTTGGCGCCTATCCTGGCTTGCGCCTGGAGAAAGGCAGACTACATTACACCCTGGTCTAATCACAAAGCCCAGACATTCACATTTACATTGTTCTGGAGTGAGAACTAAATCCTGCATGCTGCACAGAATACAGGCGAGTGTACCACTATACACCCTCTCTTAAGTGGCATCCCTTTACCAGTTGCATCCATTAAATACCTCAAATTTTACAACTCGTAAAATTAAAACACTACACTTAAAAGTCAGCATGAAGGCAAATACAGTGGAAACGCCGGTCCGTGGGCTATGGAGCTGGCAAGCTCTAGGTTTAGAGGGCCTCACGAGCCTATGGAGTGTGGACCGGCATCTTCCAATATGTTTTGTGTTGTGTGTGGGTCCACATAAGACACTTTACTGAAAGTTAACTAAATATAGCGGCAGAGCACACATAGATAATTGAGCACATATGTATTTACAGGAACGTATCTGAGTGACAGGTAAAAGTTGAGTGCAGTCTGTTTGTCAACACTGTTCTCTGTGATGTTAAATTTATAAGATCTTATTTTCACTTTACAGGGACTTCAATCAACAAATTATTGTAATACATAAATTATGTAAAATTGTTCACTTTGCTTTACTATCAACAATAAATGGAACAACCAGTTCAGTTATTTAATGAGATAATTAATAAGTCTTAATTTGAGTGTGAAAAGCCTCATTTAGTGCAACAAATATTACTGGACTCCGTGAGCTGGTTTAAAGAACGGAACGGCCCTGTATGCCACACTTAGCCCTGAAGCTTGTAAAGCCGTACCCAATAAAGCAGTCGCATAAAATTGATGCTGGTCCATTTTAAATATGAGGCGTAGGCCCCTCCCAGATGACGTCATTGAATATGACCAATCAGCGTCATGGGAAATCTCTCGCCGATTACTCACTAGAGCGTGCGTCCGTGCGCGCGCGCGAGCAGCCAACTAGTTGTTGGCTAGCACATTAGCAGCTACAGTTAGCCTGCCTTTCCGAAACATTTAAACACATTCCCTGTTCTCGCTAAAGACCCGCTTGACGTTCACCATGAATGGGGACTCCCGTTCAGAGGCATGTCCGTCCCACTAAAATGTGAAAGATGACCAGGGACCGTCGTGAAATGATCAATTAGCCCTTCGTCAGGAGGGAAAATTCTGCCTATATCTTACAGCTTTTCTTTTTTTTTTTTCCGGAGATCGCTCGCTAGCATCCCGGGGAAGGAAAGCTCTGAGATTTTTGCGAGTGGATGCGGAAGAAGGATGTGAGCCAAGCTGGACGGCTAAAGCTAACTCTACGCTGTGCTGGGATTCAAATGTGAGAAGCGTTTCAACCACGAGCTGAATTGTGCCCTCTGTCAAGAGAAAGTGAGCTCACGCTAACATTTATAACAGTGAACGTTTAGGTCTTGCTGGGGTTTGTACGACTACTAATTGTTTCCCCTGCTCACGAGAGTGACAGCGAGCAGATTGGAGCAACTACCGGAGGCCTAGCATTAGCTGGTTTGTAGCTTAAGTCATCTCATGTTTAATACCGAATGTCAGCGTGTGTGTTGGTTTTTGGTGCGGATATCGATTATGTGCACGCACACGCCAGTGTGCAGGTGTTGGTGATTCGATCGAGTCCAGTTTTTCCCGATCATAACAAATATAGTCACAAGCTAGACGGAATTGTTTGTTAGCCTGCTAATGCCTCTAAGAAAATGTCACCTAGTTGGGAGAACACTATAATAGGCCCTCGGAGCTGATATTAAAACAAATAATAGTAAACACAATTCTTCCCTTCTAATTCATTTTAGAGATGTTAATTAAACTACGTTGTGGATTATAGTTGCAGTTTGCAGTGGTGTACAAGTACACTGCATTTTAGAGAGGTGATTTTTAATATGACCCCCCCCCCCAATTTACAGGTATAAGACACGCCTCTCAGTGTGAGGCAGGGTCGTTGTGCCGTACACCAGGGGTCCCCAACCGCCGGGCCGCGGACCGGTACCGGTCCGCAGGGCAT